CTCAGATATTGTCTGGCAGCCATGAACGGGTTCTCCTGTTTGTGTAGCATGGTGCAGAATCCTGTTGTCAGATACTTAGCCTTCAAGCAGCCACACTCTTGACCTAGGGCAACACGTCCTACGCAGGGTTCCGTGTTGAGTGTGAGACTCATCCAACTCTTTCCGAATCCTCTGCAATGTCCTCAGATTAACACTCTGAAATGTTCGTATTGGAGATTCCAGCGTGAATGCCAAGCAGTACGGCATGCCGTTTCCAAATTTCTGGCAGAGAGAATTGTGTCATGGTGCTCTTTTACTTACAGACGGTGTTCAACTGATCCTACTTTACTGTACAGGCGACAAAATGAAAAAGAAACTCATACGCGAAATTAAAAATATAAAATAGCGATAATTTACTCATCATACCCTGTATATATACAGAGAGAGAGAGAGACAGACAGACAGAGAGAGAGTGAGAAAGAGAGGGTACGATCTAGTCTAGAAGAAACCTCAACAGAATGCACTGGACGGCCGTTACGTCCTATAGTTGGGACTCATCAGCAGAATTGAAACCCGAACAGTTACGATAGGAGGCAAACGCCATACCAACTGTACTAACTCTGTCTGTCTGTCTGTCTGTGTGTGTGTGTGTGTCTCTCTCTCTCTGTATGTGTGTGTGCGACTATACACACACACACACACACACACACCCGAACAGTTACGATAGGAGGCAAAGCCAACTGTACTAACTCTGTGTGTGTGTGTGTGTGTAATTATATATATATATATATATATATATATATATATATATATATATATATAGAGAGAGAGAGAGAGAGAGAGTGAGAGAGAGCAGAATGTTGGCTGTAGAAGACTTGATTAAATTTGTGTATTATTTCTACTTTTTGCAACCTAATGGATCGACACCCGAAGTTTGCTAATCTATATATAGTCAGGTATAATTCGACAACGGAGTGATACCCAAAGTGTGCTTTTCACCATACACCCTCACAAATACGGACACACAGACAAAGATACACAGAAACGCTTACTTTCATGCACATTTACAGTATTTATGAAGACAAGCCACATTAGTGAAAGGCGTAGTGAGAATTGAACCCATTACATAACACACACACACACACACACACACACACACACACACACACACACACACACACAGCCTATCAGATTTACGCATGCGCATTTCGTAAATTTGGCTTGTTATAGATGCAATAAAAAATAGTCCGGGTTGTTGGACTCACTGGGGTCATCATCAGGGGTGAGAGTAAGAAAAGAGAAGAAAAACACAATAATTGTAATAATAAAAGAAAGATCCTTTCTAACAAAATGAAAATAATTCAGCAATCGGCTGCAAAATACAAGAAAAAAAATCATGACTAAGGATTATGGAAGCCATTTATATTCAGTATAACCAGTCATTCATTAATAAAAGTAAATATAGTTTAAAAGCTCTTATTCTTGTGCACACACACACACACACACACACACACACACACACACACACACACACACACACACATACCAAGCCAGCTGGGACATTTATGAGTCTATCACGCCATCCATCACGGTCTCGCATCAATATCGGAAAGTCGTTAGGATGGCATCCCTATATGCCTTTACATAGTTGCTCAATATAGATGGCTGCTCGGCGTCCAATCAGTTATGTGTCACGGCTAAGTGTCCAGAGCCTTAGATTACTCGCAAGTTCTTGTTTTGGCTCGCCAACAGTGTCCTGCAAAGCGAAGCATGAATTCATGTCAAATTGTACAAATATCAGGAATGGGTCCATAGAACTGTGACTTAGTTGGATATTGTCTCCAAGAGATTCTAAGTATAATTCTCAGCATCCGAGTCTAGGCTTCATCAAGCTTGGACTCAAGGATTTTAGTTCATGTCCAAGCAGTGGCACCATACATTAAAACTGACTCTGTAGTGAAGCGGAAGAAGCTCCGAAGTTTTCCAGATTAAACATTATTTATTCAAGGCGGTCGAGGCTTCCGTATGCGAATTTTCACATCGTTTTCACTATCATTTATTTCGCTTCCTAGGTACATATGAGATTCGACAGATTTTATTGATTCACCCGAAATAGTTTGTATTGAGAATGCATATAATAACAATTGTAATAATAATAATAGTAATAATAATAATAATAATAATAATTACACGATGTCATTCGTTTCTATTCTCTGTCGCTTATTACATATTACTAATACATGACTTACTGCATTCTATCTTATTGGATTTAGATTTCAAACAAAAATAATGGCATTTTTAAAAGAATGCACTGCTTAAAATACAGTTACGCGAATAAGAATATTGTCACCAGTCCTCCTTGTATTCTTTTTGAATTTAATTCTATATTTATTTTAATTTCTCTCTGTCCTTATCTCTTTTCTTCGTTACTAACGTTTCCTTCTTATTTATTTTGTTTTTTGAATTGAATTTATTTTACCATCTTTTTCCCTCTTTGAAAATTTGGAATATAAGGTCTTTAGCGATTTTTCGGGTTCATACAAGCATTGGACGTTGGAATGTTTTCTTCTACAAGAGGTGAATGTTGACACAAGGCTATTTTGGTAGTATCACCCCTCCCCACCTCGTTCGGCCGATGGTGATTGTCACTCCTGACCTAAACCATCGTCTCAATAGTCACACGAGAAAGAATATCGTCGCCTGTCATTCTTGTATGAATCTCTTAGAATTTAGTCCTGTATTCTTTTTAAGAAGTGGGGGCACAATGGAGTAATGGATAGCGGCTCTGACTGAGGAATCGGAGTAGTACCTCATCTCATAAATATAGACAGATATTTTGGATTTTATTCATACTAATCAGATTGACATTCATAATTGTTCTGGATCAGGTTCATATTGTGCCACAGAAGAAAAATGTGGCTGTTGATCTATTTCTGTATTTGTCAGAAATTTATTTTAAAGACATCTGTAAAGAATTTTTCGTATCAATCTTTTCAATCAAGTTTTGATCTTTCTACGATCGCAGCTCAAACTTTTATTAACATCCTACGTTTTGCTTCTATTATGGATAACTTTAAATATCTTGTGTTCTTTTGATATTATTTTCATTTATTTATGACAACAAAACTTTACTTCTTAAAAACTTTCCCTTGCTTCTTAAGGCTTCCCCAGTGAAAATGTATCAGGGCAGACACTTCTTGATCACCTCAAAGTACCTCTCACTATATATATATATATATATATATACACATACATACAATAATATATATATGTATACAGAGTGCGATGGCGAAATTGTCGCCATTTTATACTTTGTCGACTGCATAGTATACTAGAATTGGGTAAAGTCTGTTGGAGAAAGAGCACCATGACGCAATTCCCTCCTGCTTGTCAGTCATGCCGGAATCTCAATACAAGCATCCATCGCACCATATATATATATATATATATATATATATATATATATATATATATATATATATAATTATTTATTTAAAAATATGATTCCATCGCTACAAAACAAGAGCCGAAAACATCAACATAATTATTTGAATTAAATTGAATTAAAGTACCAAGCTCTGTTGCATCTTCAAGCGAAATTTTTTTTGGAATAATTACTGAAATTTACGCGTTTTATAAGCATATTCATTATTAAAATTAAAATTACTATGGTAACGGCTAGAGCAATTGTTTAAAGAAAAGGGGTCGTAAGGGTTAATAATTTGATCAATATATACATTCAAAGAGGTCAAGTCAGGGTAAGGTTGGGGTGTCTAAATTTAAAGCGGAAGATGACATCGTCTAGTCTGGTTAAGTGTTTATGGAGATTTATTTATTTTTTTATTTTATTTTTTTCTTGAAAGGATTTTGTGTATATAAAAAAAAACTGTCATAATTCGCTAACATGTTTTTTTGACGACCTCATAAATTTAGACTACGTAGTTTAAAATTTCTATTTAATTTTTTGTTTGTTTTTATGCTAATTATTCAATGCGAATATATATATATATATATATATATATATATATATGGGCAACAGTAATCGTTTAAACATCTTTCGTTAAATATGACGGAAAACGAAAATTTTATTTAGTTTTTCCAGTGTTCTTACATGGTGTACTGTACTGATGCGGCATTCACCCTGGGCGGATTGAGCCGGCTTCTTCCTGTGATGAGAAGAAGATTCTTGGGATAAATTACAGAAGTAGGGTACCCAGGCCTACTCGGGTAAAGTTCTTGCTTGCCGCGGGATTCCCACAGACACAGAGACAGGAACGACCAGAAGCCGCAGACGCTCCTAGGATTTTCACCAGAGCCCTTGTGTCAGACCTGTCCGCCTTGGGTGGCCCTACCAGGGACGAAGTTCCGGGCGGCATAGCTCTGACACTACCATTTACACCCCCCCACCGACTGTGAGGTAAGGGTTGGACTTTGGGGGCTTACAGTACCAGGTGTTCCCAAGCGGTCCCCCATCTAAGTACTGACCTGGCTCTACGATGCTTAACTTCGGTGATCGAACGAGAACCGGTGTTTTCAGCGTGATTTGACCGTAAGCTGTTCTTACATGGTGCCATTTACGGAAGTACAAAAACTCTCCATACCGTCCATTGTCTCATGCGGTTTCGGCCACATCCTTAGCCATTTTCAAGAGGTTTTGTTTTGATATTAGTTTCTCTTCATGTTTTGACTGCTTGAGATGTATTATTTGTGTGGTTTATTTGAGATGTATTATTTGTGTTGTTTTGAATAGTAGTAGTAGCGTTTATTCCTAGACCTTGCGTCTTATGTGCGGCTGGAATTCGAGTGAACGTCTATGTATGTTTGTATATATGTCTGTTTTATATATCTACGTGTGAATATATGTATGTTTGTATATATCAAAGTTTGTATATATGTATTTATCCCGTGCGTTTAATGAACGCATTAACGACATTCGTCTTTCAGAATCACCCATGAATTTTTCCTAGAATTTCATAGCGTAATCTTAGCCTCCTCAATATCTATCTAGCTAATTATCTCAGCCTGTTCAATATCTATCTATCTATCTATCTATCTATCTATCTATCTATCTATCTATCTATCTATCTATCTATCTATGTGTGTCTTATTCTGTTGCTATCTATCTATCTATCTATCTATCTATCTATCTATCTATCTATCTATCTATGTGTGTCTTATTCTGTTGCTATCTATCTATCTATCTATCAATCTATATATATATATATATATATATATATATATATATATAGTATATATATATATTTTCTCCCGTTTCTCCACACCCCTTATATATATATATATATATATATATATATATATGTGTGTGTGTGTGTGTGTGTGTGTGTGTGTGTGTGTGTGTATGTGTGTGTGGCGTGTGTGTGTGTATCAAATGAGTGTGTGCAGAAATATTCTCGGTCAATCCCACTACCAGCGAAATGATCAAACATCAAATTTTGCGGAAAAGACCTTTGTCCGGGCGAAAAATATTCAACAGTAGTTGAACGCATACACACCCACACACATACTCAGACACGCACGCACGCACGCACGCACGCACGCACGCACGCACGCAGACAAACATACACACACAAACGCGCGCGCTTTCACACTCAGACACATACACAATCAATCCATACTGTTATCGTAGAGGTTTAGTTCCAAAATGAACATTTGGTCTCCCATACGTCGAACTCAACATGAGAGAGCCTCTATATATATATATATATATATATATATATATATATATATATATATATATATATATATAAATGACAGCAGAATAGAAAACATTTGTTGAGAAAAAAGTTAAGAAATTAGATTAGAAGAGAAAAAGCAAAATTAAAAAAAACGAATATATGTATATAACGAAAATACTAGAAATTGGTGACGATAGAGTAATTTGGGCGGTTCCATGATTTTTGGCGAGAACAAAAACCTAAAATTCATTTTTTTTTTTTTTTTTTTACCGCCATTAAATTTATCCCTCTGCGTTGAGCGCTAATCATGCGTAATTAGTTCGTTAGCAACGTGTGAAAAGCTCTGACAATCAAAATTGGCACTTGGTGTTTGCTTTTTTAATTCTTCCAGCGTAATCTTTTCCTGTCTTATAATGAAAAGTCTCGCACGCAATTCGATCGTCTGATTCTCTCATTTTTTTAACGCGCTTTCGAACAAGGCACCAGGGGAATCAGATAGCAAAACTGTGGGTAATAGAATTAAAAGTTTAGAGAATATGTGAAAAAAATTATGGAAAAAAAAAGACGATTTTGTTAACAATCAGTGTTGCGTATTACTTGACAGCAATTTTGGGTTCTTTCTAAAACAAACTGAGATTTCACAACAGGATAAGTTAAATTATTAATATGTATCTATATGGAATGGCAGTCAGAATTTGTTCAAACGGTATCCATTTTTTTATAAAGTTTGCTTTAGGCCTTCTCATTTGTACGAAATACCTACATGAGTACAGGTTTGAACCTTTATCCGAAATAGCGTAAAGCAAATTAGGAATTTACATTAATTTGTATAAAAAAGATTTTTGATAGGTTTGAAACTCTCAATATAATAATTTTCTGCCTGCCTTCATCATTAAGTCAAGTTTTATCGGCTCCTAATATCATATTTATCGATTCCCTTCTTCTCATATCTATCTATCTATCTATCTATCTATCTATCTATCTATCTATCTATCTATCTATCCCAAATTGTTCACATTTCACAGTTTATATCTGCCAACATCACCTATATCTATAAATATTTGTTAATATCTATTTATCTAATTGTTATCCTGTTCAAATTATCTATCTATCTATCTATCTATCTATCTATCTATCTATCTATCTATCTATCTATCCCAATTTGTTTATATTTCACAGATTATATCTGCCAACATCACCTATATTGATGTGGGGCTAAAGTTGGGACCACAGAAGTAAAACACGGAACACGGATTAGATGTAAGAAAGATATATTAACAACAGGTTACAGCTTACCATATCACTCTCTAGAGTGCTATGTCGCCTACTTAATATATGCCTGGAAGAGTCTATTGTGTAGGTAGTTTCTGGTCTCACAATACCCCCCCCTTCCAAAGAGTTTTCTTTTTGAAAAGGAGAGAAAAAAATAAAACTGTTAATACTTTTTCCTCTTGGGATTTATGTCGAGCGGTTGAGTAAATTTCCTTTTCCTTCCTGAGCGTCGCACTTCAGGAGAGACTTGGGGCATGTCGAGATCGAAGTGATCGAAAATTACGTCGATCGGCTCTTCATAGTTATTTTGTAGTGATTCCTCCGATTCCTTCAAACGGCATTTTCTGAGCTGGTTTCAATGGCATTTGTGAATGTCCTTGGACCATATATACCAGTTCACCAATTCTCTGCTTAATGATACCCACTTCCCAGAATGTCATATTGTTCTTGTACGCCTTGAAAAAGACCCTAGCGCCAGGATTGAAATATTTCCTATGAGGCGATACGGTTTTTTTAAATTTTGCTTGCCGTGGAATCAGTTTGTCGAAGACAGACTTTATTTTCCTTGCGAACATTGTTTCTGCAGGCGAGCATCCCACAGGCGTGTTCGGATTAGTGGTTATCCGATACACATGCAGAAATTGTTGCAATGCTCTATCTGTCGGTGTGCCTAGTGTCTTTCTTAAAGCCCTTTTTAAAGTGTCCACGAACCTTTCGGCCTGGCCATTTGACCTAGGGTGGTACTGAGGCGTTGTAACGTGGTCCACCTGATATGACTTGCAGAAGTCTCTAAATTCACTTGATGTGAATTGAGTGCCATTATCACTAACTATACAATCTCCGACGCCAAAACGCGCGAATAGCTCGTGTAAAAATCCGATCGTGCAGTTTGTGGTTGGTCTTTTACATTGTAGGACTTCAGGCCATTTTGAGTGGCTGTCCACAACAATGAGATAGTAAATGTTGTCCATAGGCCCTGCAAAATCCACATGGATTCTTTGCCAAGGATGTTCTGTTTGGGCCATGGTTTGCACGTCGTGTTTGGAGCTTTTGCTGCAAGAGCGCATCCTTTGCATGCTTCTATCACGTCTGCTATGTCCTTGTCCATGTTTGGCCAATAAACATAGCAGCACATGAGGCTTTTCGTACGGCTCTTCCCTGGATGTCCCATGTGAAAATCCCTGAGGATTTTTCTTTATAAGCTGTTTGGAATCACTACGCGGTCGTTATATAGTAGGACATATCGCAGAAGGAGAAAACTTCAGGCACATTGGGGTCTTTGTTGCGAATTTTGCTTTTTATTGATTGAATGAATTCATCCTCTCGAGACTCCCTTTTTATGTCGGCCAAAGTAACTGGGAGCTCACTTATGGTACTCGCGATCATGTTTTTGATTTCACAATTTGTCCTTAGAGTAGCAATGATGGAGTCTTCAAAGACTTCTGTATTTTTTGGAATGAGTCGCGATAAACAGTCTGCATGGCAAATATTTTTGGTTGTTAGGAACTCTATCTTAAAATTATAGTTTAAGAGAATTGTTCCCCAACGAAGTAGTCTATTTGCAGTATAGACTGGCAGACCTTTTTTAGACCCAAAAATTGTAATCAGAGGTTTATGATCTGTCTGCAGTATGAACCGTCTACCATGTAGATATCTGTGAAACTTTGTCACAGCGAATATTAACCCTAGAGCCTCGTTCTCTATTTGGGAATATTGTTTCCCAGCTGGAAGTAGAGATCTTGATGCGTGAGCCACAGCTTTTCGCAAACCGTCTGGCAGTTTATGTAATATGCAAGCGCCTATGCCGTACGAGCTTGCATCACTTGTGACTATGATGTCGAGACTAGGGTCGAAATGTGTGAGGGAGAGGTCTGAAGTAAGAGTTTTCTTGACCTTCTCGTGTGCGTCTTGGCATTCAGGGGTCCATGACCATGGTTTGTCCTTTTTTAAAAGTTGGTTGAGAGGCCCTCTCAAATTTTGCATGTTCTTAATGAACCCTTGGTAAAAGTTAGCTAGACCGAGGAAGCTTTGTAACGCTTGAACGTTATCTGGGGCCGGCATGTTTCTGATCGCGTTGGCTCTTTCTGGATCCGGCCGACGACCATCTTTATTTATAATGTGACCTAAGTATTTAATCTCTGGTAAGAAAAAGTCACACTTTTCCTCCTTAACCTTAAATCCATATTCTTGTATCTTTTCGAATACGTTTATTATATGGTTCCGATGCTCTGCCGTAGTTTTACTGGTAACCAGTATATCATCCAAACAGGCTGTTGCATAGTCGTTGCATGGCGTCCATGACCTGCTGGAAAATTGCAGGCGTAACCTTTACTCCAAAAGCCAGTCTATTGTATTTGTACAACCCTCTATGGGTGTTTATGCAGAGCAATTTGGAACTTTCTTCTTCCACCTCTATCTGAAGGTATGCGTCCGAGAGGTCAATTTTAGAAAAGATTTTTCCACCTTTTAATAAGGTCGGCTTGTTCAATTTTCGCCAAGTACGCCAGTTAATGGTTGAAATATCAGAACCCGAGTCAAGCTGAAATTTAATGGATTTATTGAAAATATCCACTGTTACATATTTTCTTAAATTCCTATCGACAATATTGTCAGATTGAGCTTGCCTAATTTTATTTTTGGGTTTTCTCGTTCTATTGGCGTACTAGCACGAAGTCAAAGTATGCCCACTTTTATTGCAATTTTTGCAATATTTTTTGTTCTTAACTGGACAGAATTTCATCCATGGTCCGGGCGGTTTCTTTAACCTATTTGGGTTTTGGTTACTGCGTAATTTAGGACATGAGATTTGCCTTTTCTCTTTTTGAGGGGAATAGGAGGTAGACTAGCTTCTGATTTTATTAATCTGAGCCACACCTGATTCCTCGATAGTGTTTGAGTCACACTTTACAGATATTACTCTTTGACAGTCCTCTGTCAGTTTTTGGAGAGTCAATCCTTGTTCGTTCTCAAACTTGGTCAGTACCCGTCGTCTGAATTCGGCGTCTTCTGCTGATACTAGACCTTCTGCGAAAACTAAGCACTTGAAATCATCGGCAGTCAGTTCGGCTAGTTTAAAATCATTACAGAGCTTGTTTACCGATGCTGCAAACGTTAGAAAATCTTGCTGGTTGTCTTTGACTGTGTTCAGACATTTCCAACGTTTGTGGAACAAGGTTGTGTTAGGCCCGAATAGTTCCGATAGGGGCTTAATAGTCTCTGAAAAATCCAAGTCAGTCTTTTTCTTGGGTAGTATGAAATATACGAACCTACTATGTTCTGTAATTCCCAGTTTTCTCAATAGTAGACGTACCTTTTTTTTTTACTGGGCCATTGTTCACAGTCTACGTTGAAAATATCTTCGTAGCGCCTGTAAAAAGCCTGGAACGTTTTGTCTTCCTCTGGTACGTATTCAAATGTTTCCATTGAATTGTAGATTATACTCTGGGAGAATATTGTATCTTTTTCAGAGTTTGAGCCTTTTAATGCATTTACGAGTAATTCTTTAAGTTGTTTCTGTTATAGTTCAGCATTCTGAAGCGTAATTTTCTGGAATTCCATTTGTTGTTTATGTAATTCCAAAAATAGTTGTTGTCTTTCTTCTGATTTTTGTTGCTGATCCAAATTTAGTTTTGACATTTAGGCAACTACTTTTTGCAAAATATTGCGGTTTTTCGCCGGTAAGGTATTGAGGTTTCGCCGTGAGTACGTTTCTCGAATCCTCGTCGCCACTGATGTGGGGCCAAAGTTGGGACCACAGAAGTAAAACACGGATTAGATGTAAGAAAGATATATTAACAACAGGTTACAGAGATAGTGTAAGCGGAGCTTACCATATCACTCTCTAGAGTGCTATGTCGCCTACTTAATATAGGCCTGGAAGAGTCTATCGTGTTTCCGGTCTCACAATATATATCTATAAATATTTGTTACTATCTATATATCTAATTGTTATCCTGTTCAAATTATCTATCTATCTATCTATCTTCGTTCAAATCTATGTTAATCTCTTTATATGTATGTATGTATCTACCTATTTATTAATGTAGTAGTGCAGGCAACAAGTAAAGCATAGTTAAAAAGTAAGCAGATCTTCAAATCTCTATTGTATATTTAGCGTAATATCAAATATTGTATTTATATGTGTTCAAAATAATTTAATCTTATCTATATTCTTCACGAAAATCTCTATAAACGGAAAATACATAAAAGTTACCAAGGCAATATTTTTACTTCTCCCAAAAGAATTTGTAATAAATCTTTGTCCGTGTGTGCGGGTCTCTCGGTACATGAAGATGAAGGCCTTTCTTAAATCTATGGCTGGACCTAAGTCAACAGTAGATGATCTAACCAAATAATTTTGCAGTTTATGCCATAAATTTTGTTTTATTATGGCTCAGCACTTGGTCTATGAGTTTTTCAGTGTTTTGGAATGAAAGCATTTCTGACAAGAATATTCTACAAGGTGCGATGGATAAATTATCGTCTAAATTACGCAAAAAAATGAAAATAACACCAAAATCTCTTTTTAATAGATATATTTACCAAAATTACACAAAAATATTTGGAAATACTAGAGAGTATATGTGTTCAATAATATCGTCATTGGATTCATCTACGTTCTCCAGACGACTTCGGCATATCCTCCAGATCTTCTAGATGGTCTCCTTGTTTAAGTTGGTGAATGCTGCCATAATCCTGTTCAACTTTTGTGTTACAAGGAGTTTTACTGGACTCTTACACAACTCACATAATTATCAAAAGGCTTGCAGTCTGGGGAGTTAGGTGGCTAGATGTAAGTGGTGATACAGTCGCAGAAATTGTCTGACAGCCATAACTGAGTCCTCCTGCTTGTGTGGCATGGTGCAGAGTCCTGTTGCCAGAAATAGGGTCTTTCAGCAGGCCACCCTATTGATTCAGGGTAGCATTACCTCCTCAA